CCCCAAAACCCCCAAAACCCCAAAACCCCAAAACCCCTTTGAGTATTTAAGAAGTTGACTTGGGTGTTTTACATAATTTCACTATGGAACTGAGTAGAAAATTAAATCAAGAGGAAGACTACTTTAGAGATTCTATTTTTGGTCTAAATCATTCTTTAACTTATAATGAATCTCTATTTATGGAAGATTCTCAAAATTTTATGTTTCCAACAATCTCTCCAAAGTAGGTCATCTTTATCAATACTTCCCTGTCCAAATTTTGACTCTAAAGTGTAACATAATACTGATCAAATTAAGTCAGATTATTCTGACCTTGAAGGTTACACTTTTTACTTTATTAGAACATTCTAGAATCTAAACTTAGGGTATATCTGATTTTTAATCATAGCCATGCTAATCTCGACCAAGAAGCAAAGGAGACTATAAATAATGAATACAAAGAAAACCAGGTCGATCAGGAAATTTTAAACTTTTCTCAACTTGACCAAAAATTGAGAATGAAAAATGAACCAATAAAGCAAAACTCAACTTGTCTCTTTCTTGAGAGTATTAACAAAGACCTTAAAAATGCTCAAGAACAAAATGACAAGCCACAAAAAGTTCTTTCCGAGATAGACTCTGATCCTTCGACTGAATACCTTCCTCATGAAAGACAGAGGAGAAAGCTGAAGAAAAGGCGAGATGTCATCTTCAAATCAATTCTCCGTGAATGCAGAAGATTCTTTCTTGCTCAAATCAGTAATATGCCAGGATTTGTAATTTTTAAGAATGAGAGAAATGGTGCTTACCTGTACAAAAGCATGAAAAAGTTCAACCAAGCGATACTGAAGAGAGTTGGAACATTTGAAGATAGTTTCTATCTTGCTGCATTGTTGTATCCTCAAGACTTGAAAAAGAATTTTGAGGAATTTGTGAAAGAAAGTAAATGAGAAGACCATGAATTAACAAAGTCATCAGGAAGGGATACTATCTTGAAGTCTATTATCGACAGAATCCATAACACTTTATACAAATACTCGATAGATAGACTTAATTTCTTCACTTCAAAGCCTTCAATAGCTTTCCTCTTCTGCTATTATTATGCGCATGGAGCTGGCTCTTCTAAAGATGATCCGAAACTTTCAAAGGAATATGAGCAAATCAGGCAAAAATGCATGGACACTTTGAACAAATAAGGCATCTTTGCACATCTTAATTGTACATAGCATAAATATTGTCACATTCAAGATTGATTAAAATCTGAGGGGTTTTGGGGTTTTGGGGTTTTGGGGTTTTGGGG